CGTCGCGGGCGCGCTGCGCTTGGAGGGCCGCGTGCGCTTCGTGAAGCGCTTCCAGGACGCCGCCGAGGCGGCGCTGTCCATCTTCGACCAGGTCATCGCCGACGCGCCCACGCTGCTGGGCCGGTCCAAGGCGCTGCCGTCCTGCGTCGCGTGCAACCGGCCGCTCCCCACAAAGGCCCGGCGGCCGGCGCCGCCGAAGCGCGACGAGCGGCCCGCGCCGGAGCCGCCCGCCGGCGTCGAGAAGCTGCTCGCGTCCAAGGGGCCCGACGTGCCCCGGCCCCTGACCGCGCCGCCCGGCTCGAAGCGCGAGGAGGAGCGGAAGCCCGTCATGTCCGCGAGCGAGCGCGCGCTGAAGATTCTGCACGCGCACCTCCCGCAGACGCAGACCTACGGCGCGGCGGAGGTCGACAACAACTCGACGAACGACCAGTCGTCCTACTCGCGGAATAGCGGCCCCCAGTACTACGACGACGCCGTACGCACGTACGACCACCGCGTCGGCGACAACACGGCGGCCTTCCTCGAGCAGCGCGCCCTCCACGACGCCGAGCAGGCGCGGCGCGCGTCCTCGAAGCAGGCCAGGGCCCAGGCGAAACTCGACGCGGGCGCGCTCGACCCGTCGAACGCGCCCGCGTACCAGCGGGGCTTCCGCGCGACGAAGCGCCTCCCGGGCAAGGCCCAGCGGCCCCAGTCCGCGCCGCGCTCGGGCCGCGCCCTGCCCTAAGCACCGTGACCGTAGCCGCGCACGTAGGCCCGGCGTCGGTCCGCCGAGCGACCTGCCCTATAGCTAAGCACCGTTACCGTAGCCGCGCACGTAGGCCGCTCGTCGGTCTGCGTCGCCCACGTCGGGGAGAAGGTGGCCGTAGGCCCGCCGCCACGCGCCGTCGCGCGCCTCGGCCATGAGGCGCACGTCCGGCAGCGGGAGCGCCGTCACGTCGGCCATCTTCGCCCGCAGCTGGAGGTTGCGGTCGCCCGTCGCGAGGACGACGGCGTCCCGGCCGGCGGACCGCCGCTCCGCGAGCGCGCACTCCAGGATGACCTCGTCGGCCGTCGCGGTTCCCGCGCGCGTTTCCGGCGCCTTCTCGAACTCGAGCCAGGGCGCCCGGCGCGTCGCCTGGTCGCTCAGGAACGCGTTGCAGCGCCGCGCCTTCTCGCCGAGGTCGTCGTTGCGCTTGAGGCCGTCCAACTCCTGGACGACGCGCGTGGGCAGCACGATCGCGACGGCGCCGCAGTCCTGGAGCAGGTAGGCCGGCGTGAGCCGCTCGGCGTCGAGGAGCACGTTCGTGTCGACGACGACGCGCAGGCGCGGCCGCGCGGGGATCGACGCGGGCGGCGCGGGCGGCGTCGCCGCGGGCGCGGCGACGACGGCCGGCGGCGGCGGCGGCTTCGAGGGCTTGCCGACGGCGAATTTGATTTGCGGTTTCTCGTCGTGTTGCAGGGGAGGCGTCTCGTTATTCTCCCGGGAAGGCTTCTCGTGATTCTCCTTGTGCGTGAGGGGAGGCGTCTCGTTATTCTCCTTGCGCGCCTTATCCTTGCGCGCCTTGACCGACTTCATCGGATAATTCTTTCGCACGACGCCCGTGCCGTCCTCCTCGAGGTCGTAGGCGCCGGCGGACACCGCGATGACGACGCCGGCCTTGATCGACCGGTCCGGCAGCTTGAACCAGACCTCGGCGCCGACGTCGAGCGCCGCGGGCGCGGAGACGTTCAACGCCGCGAGCGACGCGGCGAGCGCGTCCTCCGCCGCCGCGAGCGCCGCCTCCTTGGAGGCTTCAGTCGGCGCCGTGTCGTCTTCGGCGTCGTCGTTGTCTGGCGTCGCTGGCGGCGGCGCGCGCCGTCGTGTCATCGTCGTTGCTGCGACGCAAAATCTTGAGCTTCGTCTCATTGAATTCATCCTGCGTCAGCACGCCGAGGTCGAGCAGCTCTTTCGCGCGCTTGAGCTCTTCGAACTGGGACGCGTCCATGCTGGCCGAGAAGGAGAACGCGACGCTGCGGCGCGAGCGGGCGGCGCTCGCCCAGGAGAAGGCGAGGCTGGAGCGCGACGTCGAGCGGCTGCAGCGCGCCGGCGAGCCGTCAATCACGCTAGCATCGTTGCCACAGCTCAAAAGGTTATCCCATTCACCTTCAACATGTTTCCCCATTTCACGGCCCATTCACGGTCCCGATGACTGGACCGCGCTCAAACATGGGCTGCCGCGCCATCGTCGTCGTCCTGCTCCACCTCGCGGCGGCCACGGACCCGCCGAGCGCGCTGCCGACGCCCGCGCCGAGCGCGCTGCCCTCCGCGGCGCCGAGCTCGTCGCCAACGACGATGCCGAGCCCCGTCCCGACGCCGCTGCCCTTGTCGCCGCCCGGCGAGCCCAGCGCGCTGCCGTCTGCCATGCCGAGCCCCGTGCCGACGCCCGTGCCGTCCGCGCCTCCGGGCGAGCCCAGCGCGCTGCCCTCCGCCATGCCGAGCCCTGCGCCGACGCCCGTGCCGTCCACTCCGCCCGGCGAGCCCAGCCCGATCCCGTCGTCCATGCCGACGCCCGTCCCGACCGCGCTCCCGACCGCGACCGCCGCGACCCCAGTCCCGAGCGTGCTCCCGTCCGCGAGCCCGCTCCCGTCCGCCGCGCCCGCGCCCGCGCCGACGGCCACGCGCCGACCGACGGACCACTCGGACGCGCCGTCTTTCTCGCCGTCGACGGCGCCCACGGGGCCGACGTCGCTGCCGACGGAGGACAGCGCCGCGCCGTCCTACGCGCCCGCGGCGCCGACGGCCGCGCCGCTGCCCCCTCCGAGCCTCGCGCCCGCGCCGGCGCCGACGGCCGCGCCCGCGCCCGGCCCGACGCCGCCGCCCGCGCCCGCGCCGACGCGTCCCGCGCCGACGCCGTCGCCGAGCCCGCGGCCGACGCGGCGGACGCCGCGGCCGACGTTCCACCCCCGGCAGCACTGGCGGCCGCCGACGCACAAGCCGACGACGGCCGCGCCGACGGCCGACCCTCGGAAAAAGGACAACGACGACGAGGCGCCGCGCGCGGGCGCGCCCTACGTCTTCGGCGTCGTCGTGCTCGCGGTGCTCGCGCTCATCCTCGCGTGCGTCTGCTACCGGCGCCAGACGGGCGAGGCCGGCGAGTGGACGGACCGGCCGCGGTACCGCGACAACGACTCGCCGAACTCCGTCGAGCTCGCGAACTACGGCATGCGCCAGCAGTTCGTCTAGGCGCAGTAAGCAGCAGCGAGTCGCGGACGGGGTTGACGGGGCTTTTCGGCTGGCGGCGTCGGGGTAGACGTCAAGGCGACGTGGCCCGAGAGCCGACGCTGCGCTCGGGCATGGCATGGTGAAGTACAACACCAATTTGCATCTCTCGGCGTCGGGAATCTCTGGCAACGAAGCGGCCCCGGCCTCCGCCAAGCACATCGAAAGCAAAAACAACCACAAGCGCGACACCATCCGCGCACATCGCAATCCTCACCGCTCATCCCCACAATGGCCAACAACACGAAGACGAACACGCCCACGAAGCAGCAGCAGCAGCAGCCGCAGCGCTCCGCGCCGCGCAAGCCGCTCAAGAAGCAGCCGTCGCTGACCAAGCTCCAGAAGCAGCCGTCGCTGACCAAGCCGTCGAAGAGCCGCGCCGAGGCGCTGCGCGCGCCGCTCGCGGCCGTCAACGCGCCGCCCGGCTTCGCGCGCAAGGCGCCGCGGGCCATCGCCTTCGTCGGCGCCGCGCCGACGAACGCGCGCTGGGCGAAGACGCCCGAGGCCGCCGCGCGCCGGGCCGCCAAGCCCCAGAAGAAGCCGCACTACGACCTCGACATCCAGTGCGTCGTCACGCCGCGGAACAGCCGCTGGGCGAAGACGCCGAAGAACGCCGCGCCGCGGCTCCGCGCGTTCTCCGACGCGTCGAGCTCCGACGCGCCGCGGCTCCGCGCGTTCTCGCAGGACTCCGACGCGTCGAGCTTCGAGCCGGAGTTCGCGCTGGAGGTCGACGACGGCGTCGCCGCGGACGCGGAGCTGCTCGACGCCCACTTCCCGATGGACCTGCCCTTCGCGCTCCTCTAAGGCTTGTTACTTCTTCGCGTTGGGGTCCTCCGGGTCGTACCAGAGCTTGGCCGTGTGGAGGGAGTCGTCCTCGCAGTACTTGCGGTGCCAGGTCCGGCCCGGGTGCCAGAGGCGGTCCTCCGGGTCCGTCCGCGCCAGGTTGGCCGACGGCACCTCCGCGGCGGCCTCCTGCGCGGCGACGCGCTTGATGTCGGCCTTCTTCGCCGCGCGGAGCGACTTGCGGTGGAGCACGGCGTACTTGGACGTGTCCCAGACGCGCGCGGTGCGGTCCGCGGAGCCCGTGACGACGCGCGTGTGGTCCGCGGAGATGGCGCAGGACGTCACCGCGCCCTTGTGGCCCTTGATGCGGTGGCGGACCTCGCCCGTGGACGCGCCCCAGACGATGGCCGTCCGGTCGTCGGACGCGGAGACGATGACCGTGCCGTCGCGGCTGATGACGCAGCACGTCACGTTCTTCGTGTGGCCCTCCAAGGTGTGCTCGATCTTGCCCGTGGACGCGCACCAGAGCTTGACGGAGCAGTCCCAGGAGCCCGTGACGACGCGCGAGCCGTCGCGCGAGTAGTGGCAGGCCGTGATCGTCCGCGCCTGGGCAGGGAACCAAAATATGCAAGACGACTTCAATCGGTTTCGACACTTCTTTCACTGTCTCGCCCAGAGAAAACGACCCGTCCAAAAATCAGCCGAAACGACCTCGATGTGACCGAGACGGGGAGGTTTGCAGTTTTGCCGGATAGCACCGGTCGTTTCCGGCGCGGGTCCGCGCGTGGCCGTCCAAATGCAACTTCTCGATGTCGAGGCGCGCGTCCCAGACGCGCGCGGTCTTGTCCTTGGAGCCCGTGATGACGCGCAGCCCGTCGGGCGAGAAGGAGCAGCAGGTCACGCCGCCCTCGTGGCCCGCGAGGACGCCGTACGACTCGCCGGTGAGCGCGTCCCAGACGCGCGCGGTGCGGTCCTCGGACGCCGTCGCGACGAGGTGGCCGTCGGGCGAGTACTCCGCGCCCTCGAGCTTCTCCGCGTGGCCCTCGAGCGTGAGGAGCTTCGCGCCGTCGGCCGCGTCCCAGATCATCGCCGTCGCGTCCGCGGACGTCGTCACGACCCGCGACCCGTCGGGGCCGAACATGCAGCTCTCGACGGCGCCGCCGTGGCCCTCGAGGACCGCGATGTTCTTCCCGCTGACGGCGTCGTTGATGCGCGCCGTGCGGTCGTCGGAGCACGTGACGACGCGGCCGCCGTCGGGGCTCACGTCGACGCAGCGCACGACGCCCGTGTGGCCCTTGAAGAGGGGCAACGCGACGCCGCCGAAGCAGCTCATGATGGTTGGTGTGCGAGCGGCGCGGCGGGCCCGCGGGAGCGTTCCTGTTGCGATCAGAAGATGGTGCGACGGCAGCCCATCGTCTGGGCAAGAGCGCTGGAAGCTCTCTAGAAGATGTTTGAAAACCCTCGCGATGGTTGTTGAAGTTTCGAGTTTACACGGCCGCGGGCGCCGTGTAGAAGCGGCCGACCTCGCTGCGGTGCTTGATGAAGTCCTTGAGGGCCGCGTGGGGCATGCCCCGGTGGCGCGCCGAGGCGTGCTTGAGCGGGTCCCGGAAGTAGGGCTCGCCGAGGACCTTCTCCGCCGTCGGCCGCTGGCGCGGGTCGCACGCGAGCATCATCTCCAGGATGCTCCAGGTCTGCGCGCCGACGGTCGCGCGCAGCGGGCCGATCATGGTCTCGTCGAGCATGGACGCGGCCGTCTTGCAGCGCTCGACGTTGACCGCGCGGATGCGCTCGTACTTCGTGTCGCCCGGGTCGTCGCTCGCGCAGACGGGCGACTTGCCGAAGAGGAGGATGTGCCAGAGCACGCCGGCGGCGTAGACGTCCTGGGCCGGGTCCGTGAGCAGGCTCGGGTGCTCGTGGCAGGTCACGGCCTTGAACTTGACGTCGACCGCGTGGTCCAGGGGCCGGTCGTGGTTGCTCCCCCAGAGCTCCGGCGCGGCGTAGATGTAGTCGAGGAACCGCCAGAAGAAGACGTCGTCGGGGCTCTCGCCCTCGACGCGGGCGATGGGGGCCAGCAGCGCGAAGCCGCCCAGCAGGGGCCGCGTCGCGTCCGGCGAACCCGCGAGGACGTTTTCCAGCCGGACCTGGCGATGGACGAGGCCCAACGCGTGGATCTTCTTCAGGGCCTTGAGGATGTCCTTGATGATGCTCTTGACCGCCGCCTCGCTCCAGGGGTTCGTGCCCGCGAGGTAGCGCAGGAAGTTGCCGTGCTCCATCACTTCCGTGCACACGTCGAGCGTCTCCGCGTCCCTGTCGACGAACGACGCGACGACGGGCACGAGGCAGTCCTTGGGCGTCGCCTGCGCCCGCAGCCGCTCCAGGCCCACGTGCGCCCGCTGGAGCTCGACGAAGGACGACCGGTCCGGCGTGACTCTTTTGTGGGCCACGCGCAGCTTGTCGCTCCTCCGACGCGCCGTGAAGATGTCGCCGTCGAGCCGCCCGCGCCCGAGCATCCTGCGATCCGGGTCGTCCTCGAAGACGTCGCCGAATTTCGCGTAGCCGCCCTCGGGCACGAGCGGCGCCAGGAACTTCTGCGTGCTGTGGTACTTGAAATCGGGGTCGTGGACGCCCTTGCCCGGGAACCAGCCCGTGTCCATCGGGTTCCGGTTCTCCAGGGCCTCGAGCTTCTTCCGCTTCGACGCGCCGCCGCCCATCGCACCGAATGCCCTTTGGCTGCAGCCCAGCTCGAGACCTTTCTCAGCTCACATCGTCCGCGTTGGCCAATCGTAACTCCCACGGTGCCTTTGTCAACGAAAAACATTTACTCCGGCGGCCAGACCCAGGACGTCTGGCGCGTCTCGGCGTTGTAGTAGTAGGTCCGGCCCGAGCTCGCGTCCGTCGCGCTGGACCACTTCGCGTACTCCTCCCGGGCCTTGGTCGCGCCGCCGTCGTCGATGGTCCGGCCCTGGCTCCGGGCCATGGCGTTCGCGACGGCGTCCATGGCCGAGGCCGTCTTCTCCGCGTCGCGCCGGCGCCGCTCCTCGGCCTCGTCGACGGCCGGCGCGGCCGCGGCCGCGGCCGCGGCCTCGGGCTCGGCCGCCGCGTCGTCCGTCGCGGCCGCCGCGGCCTCCTCCGTCTTCCGCTTCTTGAACCCCTCCGACGTGCCGTAGCCGCCGTCGGAGAAGTCGCGCGCGTCGTCCCGCTTCTGCTTCTTCTCCTTGGGCTGGTGCAGGCCCCGGCGGTCGAAGCGCAAATCGTCGACCTTCTTCCCGCAGCGCGCGCAGATGCCGTGGTGGTGCGCGCACTCCTGGCAGTAGTGCGCGTCCTGGGCGACCTTGGACTTGCAGATCTTGCAGCCCCGCACGCCCGCCGTGAACCGCTGCGTGCGGCCGCGCACCTGGAGCAGCGAGTTGCGGTACGTCGTCGCCCGGCCGCCGTCGTCGCCGCCCGTCACGTTCCGCGCGCCGTCCTTCCACTTGTCGGGCACGATGACCTTGCTGAGCTTCTTTTCGCAGTCCTGGCACACCATGACGGCCGCTCTCGCGCAGGCGACGCGCCGGAGGGAGGGGGTGCAAGAGATGTGCAAGGTGAACGTTGCCGACGTGTTGCCCTCCCGGCGATACGACTGCGGCCGAAGCTCGTCGGCCTCTCGTGCCGTCCGCCCGCAGTGCGCGCGTCCCCAGGGCCTACGACAGTTCCCTCGACAGCCAGCCGCCGCGCCGCCTCAGCCATGCCCGTCTACGACCTCAAGCGCCTGGCGGCCGTGCCGTCGGCGAGCGAGCTCGTGGACATCGTGCTCATGCGCACGCAGCGCAAGACGCCCACCGTGGTCCACCCGGGCTACAAGATCACGCGCATCCGGTCCTTCTACATGCGCAAGGTCAAGTTCACGCAGCAGACCATCTCCGAGCGCCTCGGCGCCATCGTCCAGGACTTCCCGCGCCTCGACGACGTGCACCCGTTCCACAGCGATTTGATGGGCGTGCTCTACGACCGCGACCACTACAAGCTCGCCCTGGGCCAGCTGAACACGTGCAAGAAGCTCTGCGAGACCGTGACGCGCGACTACGTGCGCCTCATCAAATACGCGGACTCGCTCTACCGGTGCAAGTCGCTCAAGGTCGCGGCGCTCGGGCGCATGATGACGCTGCTGAAGCGCCAGCGCGCGTCCCTGGGCTACCTCGAGGAGGTGCGCAAGCACCTGGGCCGCCTCCCGGCGCTGGACCCGTCCGCGCGGACGTTGTTGGTCTGCGGCTTCCCGAACGTCGGCAAGTCGTCGTTCATGAACAAGGTCACGCGCGCCGAGGTCGAGGTCCAGCCCTACGCCTTCACGACCAAGTCGCTCTACGTGGGCCACATGGACCACCGCTACCTGCGCTGGCAGGTCATCGACACGCCGGGCATCCTCGACCACGAGCTGGAGAAGCGGAACGTCATCGAGATGCAGGCCGTGACGGCTTTGGCGCACCTGCCCTGCGCGGTGCTCTTCTTCGTGGATGTGTCCGAGCAGTGCGGCTACACGATCGAGCAGCAGTCGAGCCTGTTCCACAGCATCCGCGCGCTCTTCGCGGACAAGCAATTGGTGCTGGTCGCGAACAAGACGGACGCGAAAAAGGTCGAGGACTTGGACGCGGGCCGGAAGCAGCTCCTCGAGGACATGCTGAGCGCCCACCGGACGAACGGGCCCGGCGGCGACGAGATGGCGAAGATGGTCGAGATGTCGAACGTCACGGAGCAGGGCGTCGCGGACGTGAAGAATCTCGCGTGCGACCTGCTGCTCGCGCACCGCGTCGAGAAGCGGCGCGCGTACCAGGGCGGCGCGCGCGTCCGCGACCGGCTGAACCGCTTGGTGGTGACGCCGTTTGACGGCGCGAAGCAGCCCGCCCTCGCGACGGCCGTGCCCATGACCGACGGCGACGACGAGGAGCGGGGGGCGTCCATCCCCGCGTCCGTCAAGGCCGCGCGCGCGGCGAAGAAGCTCGCGAAGGCCGCGGCCAAGGCCCAGCAGGAGGCGGACCGCCTCGAGCTCGCGGCCCTCGGCGCGGCGACGATGGAGCACGGCACGACGCCCGACGCCGTCGAGGACATCCGCAAGGTCGCCGCGGCCGCGCGGTCCGAGGCCGACGCGGCCGAGGCGCGCGTCGCCAAGGCCGCGCCGCGGCCGACGGAGCGCGACGTCATGTGGCGCAACGGCGGGCCGGGCGTCTACTCCGCGGACCTGACGCGCGAGTACATCGGCCAGCTCAAGTGCGACGAGTGGCGCACGGACTTGGTGCCCGAGATCATGGACGGCAAGAACGTGCTCGACTTCGTCGACGAGGACATCGTCGCCAAGCTCGCGCTCCTCGACGAGGACGAGGCCGAGGCCGAGGAGGGCCTGGAATCCGCCGCGCGCGAGGCGGCCCACGCGGCGCTGTCGCCCGCGGAGCTCGCGCTCGTCACCGCCGTCCGCGACAAGAAGGTGCTCAACCGCCGCGTCGCGCAGGCGGCCCGGGGCCGCCGCAACGCGCCCGTGCCCCGCCAGGCGCGCCTCCGCTCCGAGGGCGCCGCGGGAAACGACGAGGACGACGCCACGGTCCGCGGCCGCGCCAAGTCCGCGGCCGTGAAGCGGACGCGGTCGCTGAGCCGGCCCTCGGAGCGCGACGGCCGCGCGGCCGCGCGCGCCGAGGCCATGGACGTCGACGGCGACGCCGACGCGAACCCGGCGAAGAAACAGAAGCGGTCCGCGAGCCGCGGCGACGCGCACCGGTCCCAGTCGCGGCCGCCGCCGCGCGACGAGCAGGGCCTCAACGAGGCCGACCAGGACGCCGCGCGCGAGATCGGCAAGAAGATGCAGAAGAAGATGAACCGCATGGCGCGCTCCGGCGAGGCGGACCGGAAGACGGGGCCCAAGCTCATCCGCTGGATGAACGAGGGCAAGATGGGCCGCGGCGCGCGCAACTGCCGCTGATCGTATGGCGCGGGCCGACCCAAGTTCGCCCCCGGCCCGCGGCCTTCCCCTCCCCTCCCCCGTATACTCTCGAGTTCGCTTACACAATGAGGGGACAGGGGTCGTCTTGGGCTTTCGAGCCTAGGCGAGGGGCGCGCCCACGATGCGCGAGACGTCGAGGACGTCCACGGAGAGGACGACGAGCAGCGCGAGCAGCGCGAGGTACTCGAGGTGCACGGGCGCCGCGAGCGGGTCCGCGGAGAGGGTCGTGAGCTGGTTGCCGACGCGCGAGAACTCGGCGTCTTGCATCGCCTTGAAGGTCATGTCCGCGTCGACCTCGAAGGACTCGGCGGCCGCGACGCAGCTATCGGCGTCGAAGCCGTGGAGGATGCAGTACTCGATCATGTCCTCGCGCTCCTGGAAGGACACCGATTCCGCGGAGCGGCGGACGCGCGACCGGTCGGGGTGCAGCTTGGCGTGCGGCGCGCCGTCGGGCACGATGAACGCGACGGCGAACTGGGCCGAGGCGGTCGCGAGGAAGGCGAGGGCGATGTTTGCGCGCATGGTTGATCTTTTGCAGGCGAGTGTTGATGAGTTGTAGGCGAGTGCTGGTGCTGATTGCAGGTGCTTGCAATCGCTGCAGAGGCACTGGTGGACGGCGTCGTAGTCGGTGTCAATGGCTTTTGTTGTCTCAATCGATCCTCTCCAGAAGGTGCATCAACGGCTTCAAGAACCAGATTGAACTTTCGACGGCAGCCCAAACGATGGCATCTTTCGCCACCAAGACCGACACCTCGCACCGGTCGTCGGCCCTCGTGGAGTTCCGCACGACGGACGTCGCCGGGAACACGTACTACGTGGAGACGGGCACGTACTGGGACGGCAAGATCGTCGTGCAGCCCGCCGGCGACGGCAGCAACGAGGAGGCTTTAGCCGCGCCCTGCGCCGAGCCGCTCGTCGCGCTCTGCGGCGACTGCTGCGGCTTCGTCTACGCCGCGTCGGCGGTGTCGCTGCACCGGTTGAACCCGCGCGCCGAGGGGCTCAGAGGGGCCACGGACCCCTACGAGTGGCAGGCCGTGGGACCGCTGCCCGCGGGCAGAATCATCGCCGCGTCCGCGAGCAGGACCCACGACGCGCTCCTCGAGCTGCGGACGACGCTGGGCACCTACTCCATGGCGGACCAGCGCACCGTCTTGTTGAACATCGACGCGGACGGCGCCGCGACCGTCGTCGACGCGCCCGAGGAGGGCAACCGCGACTGGGAGATCCTCCGGGAGCGGCTGCCCTGCGGCAACCACGACATCAGCGTCGTCGAGGCGCGCTGCAGCCTCTACACGGCCGGCGGCTTGACCCACTTCCACGGCTTCCCCGCGACGGCGAAGGTCTTCGACGGCCTGTGGACGTACCGGCCGCTGGGTGACGACTCGGGCTGGTTCAGCGCCGCGGGGTGGCAGCGGCTCGCGACGCTGCCGCGGCCCGTCTGCTACGCGGGCCTCGCCGCGCTCGACCATTGCATCTACGTGGTCGGCGGCGCCGCGCCGCACGGGGGCGACCACGGCGACCGGAGGCCCGTGGCGTCCGTCGCGCGCTACGACCTCGACGCGTACGCGTGGGCGGAGGACCCCGCGCCGGACCTGCCGGAGCCGCGGATGGAGTGCTGCGCCGTGGGCCTGCGCGGCCGGCTCTGGGTCCTCGGCGGCGCGACGGGCGACAACGCGGCGCTCGACTCGGCGCTGAGCTGGGCGCCCGGCGAGCCGTCGTGGCGCCGCGAGCCGCCGGCGCCGGCGCCGCTCCGCCAGTTCGCCGCGGCCGCGGACGGCGACGTCATCTACTGCGTCGGCGGCGACGCCGGCTTCTTCTACGGCTTCGACGTCGCCGCGGGCGCCTGGGACGCGTCGCTGCCGCCGCACCCGACGCGGCCCAAGGCGCCGCTCGCGGCCGTCCGCGACGGCGAGCTCTGGGTCCTCGGCGGCGCGCGCCAGAGCGCCGTCCACGCCTTCGACGGCCGGAGCTGGCGCCGCGAGGAGTGCGACCTGCCGGCGCCGCGGGCCTGGGGCGGCGCCGCGGCGGTCCAGGGGCGCCTCGTCTGCGTCGGCGGCGCGTTCTTCGACGGCCGCGTCGGCGGCCCGGCGTTCGACGACCGCGTCTTCGCGACGCGGTCGCCCGCGGACAAGGCCAAGTACGCGGGCCAGCGCGCCGTCGAGGCCGAGTGGATCAAGAGCCGCCGGCAGCGCCTCGAGCGCGAGGCCCGGGAGCGCGCCGCGGACGACGCGGAATACGAGAAGTCGCTGCTGACGACGCCCGCGACGCCCCTCCACACGCCGCGGCGGCCGGCGCCGGGGACGCCGGTGTTGACGCCCGCGACGACGCCGCGCCTGCGCCGGCTCGACACGCCCGGCGCCGACGGCGACGACGAGGGCGGCGTCGACTGGGGCGACGACGACGACGTCTCCAGCGACGCCGCGTCGACCATCGACGCGGACGAGGTCTACTGCGCGCCCTGCGCGCCGAAGGACTAAAAACTATTTAGGCCGCGTGCTTCATGCGCAGGACGTTCGCGTGGTGCCGGTCGATCTCCGCCTGGACCGTCGCGGCGACCTCGCGCGCCTTCCTCGCGGCCGCGCGCGCCTTCTCGCTCTCGGGGTCGTCGCCGAGCTCCTCGGCGATCATGTCGTCGGTCTCGGCCTGCTCGAGGGCCTGGGCGACGAACGCGACGGCCTCCTCCGCGGCTTTGACGGCCGCGGCGACGCGGTCGTCTTCCGTCTCCTCCGGCTCGACCTTCTCCTCGGGCGGCGTCGGCGACGCGGCCGGCGGCGGCGGCGGCGCTGGCGCCGTCGGCGGGGGCGGGGCGGCCGCCTCCTCCTCCTCCTCCTCCTCCTCCTCTTTCACGTTGAGGCCCGCCTTGTCCTCGCGCGCCGCGAGGATGGGCGCCGCCGCGCGCCTCGCCGCGGACTCGATGCGTTCCCAGTCGAGCTCCTCGGCTGTGAGCGGCGACGCCGGCGACGGCGCGGGCGGCGGCGTCCGCGGCGACGCCGGCGCGGGCGCGGGCGGCGGCGTCCGCGGCGCCGCGGGCGACGGCGCGGGCGGCGGCGCCTTCTCGGAACTCGCCTCGGGCGGCGGCGTCCGCGGCGCCGCGTCTCCGGGCGGCGTCGCGGGCTGCCGCGCCGCCTTCTCGGCACTCGTCGGCATCCGCGCGGGCCCCCGCGCCCGCTCGAAGCTCCGCTCGAAGGGCGGCGTCTTCTCCGGCGTCCGCGCGGACTCGGGCGTCGGCGGACCGCAGAGACCAACGGGCGTCGCCGGCGGCGAGAGCGCCGCGCCGGCCGGCGTCTCCGGCGCGAGCGCCGCGAGCGCCCGCCGCGCGCGCGCGAGCTCCGCGCGCGCGACCTCGACGGACGCCACGGCCTTGGCCGCGGACTCGGCCGCGTCCGCGCCGCGCGGCGTCTTCGCGAGTTTTGCTGCGCGGACGCGGTGCGCCTCGGCCCGCTGCGCGGCGCGCGCCGCCGTCCGCTCGGCCTCGAGCAGCGTCAGCCGCGCGTCCTCGACCTCGGGCGCCTCGTCGCCGCTCCGCGCGTAGGACGGGTAGGCGTGGGCCGGCGCCGGCGCCGGCGACGTCGGCGTCTTCGGCGCCTCGCGCATCTGCTGGCGCTGGAGGTCCTTCTTGACCGTGCGGGCGTCCGGCACGCGCGTGCGCGCCGTCCGGCTCTTCGAGCCCTTGGAAATCTGCTTGCCGAAGGCGCTCATCGTGTAGCTCAGACCGATTCCATCGCCATTTGGGCAGTGGCAAATTGAACTACAAGGTGAAGCGGCTAATACCCGCCGTGACCCTCAGACGATGGTGACTGCCTCGACGGGAATGCCCGATGTCGCTGAACTCGTGCGCGCGTTGCGGGACGGCGACGCGCCGCTTCCGAATAAACATTCTGCCGTGTGGTTGCTTGCTAATCTCTCCGAGTGCTGGGATCGAGAGGAGGTGATCGCAGCTGGTGCCGTCGCACCGCTCGCGGAGCTACTAAAAAAGGGCAGCGACTCCGATCAGCGGGACGCCACGAAGGCGTTGGGGAGGCTCGGCTATGAAACTGAACTCATCGTGCCGCTCGTTGAGCATGTCAAGAAAGGCGGCTGGAGCAAGGCGTGGGCCGCGGGTGATCTGGCTCGCTACGCGCGCAGCGCCCAGCGCCATAGAATCACCATCGCGACCGCGGGCGGCATTCTGCCGCTGCTTGCGCTCGCCCAGATCGGCCACCACCACGGCTCAAATGCGCTGCGGAGCCTCGGGATCGACGATGACCTTGCGGTCGCGATCGCGGCGGCTATTGGCCTCGAGGCGCTTGTCGAGCTAACGCAGACAGGCAACGTGCACCTGCGAGAGACATACAAAAAGGATTCGATGCTGTTTCGGTCCGAGCGTTACTCTGTCAAGACAAAAGCCGCGCAGATGCTGGTCCGCAAGTGTCTCGGCAGCGCGAGCTGCCAAGATGTCGAAACCGCCATCGCTGCTTTCCTCTAAGACCCCTCCCCGGAATGAGATAGGAAGCCTAAACCAGCGCGCTCTTGGGCAGGCCGTCGCCGACGTCCCCGCCGACGAGGAGGACGTTGGCCAGGGGCGCGCCGCGGTCGTCGGGCACGGCGATGACGAGCTTCGGGTCGCCCGCGCCGTCGCCGCTCCCGCGGACCGTCGCCGCGACCTCGACGAGCTCCGCGGAGCGGTCCGCGTCCGGCGCGCGGGCGCGCGGGAGGAAGGTGCAGAAGACGATGCAGCCGACGCCGGACACGAAGGACACGAGGAGCGCGAAGACCGCCTCGCGGAACGCGAGCGACGTGCCGACCTCCTCGAAGGTCACGCTCGTGAGGAGCGCCGTCGGCGCCGGCGACGGCAGCGGGCTCGGCAGCGGCGACGGCAGCGGGCTCGGCGCCGGCGACGGCGCCGGCGACGGCGGCGTCGACGGCGGCCGCGTCGCCGCCGTCGGCGCGGCCGACGGCGCCGCGGACGACGGCGGCCGCGACGCGGACGGCGCGGGCGACGGCGGCCGCGTGGGCGGCGCCGTCGGCGCGGGCCGGGGCGGCCGCGACGGCGCCGGCGACAGCGACGGCGCGAGCGACGGCGCGGGGCTCGCCGTCGGCGCGAAGGTGAGGCAGCGCGCCGCGTACCAGGCCACGCGGTCGTCGTCCTGCGCCGCGGCGAGGATGTCCGCGCGGCCGTCGCCGTCGACGTCGGCGGCGAAGACGCCCGCGGCGCCGCCGGCCGCCTCGTCGACGGCGCGCTCCGTGAAGGACCGCCAGCCCCGGCCGCCGACCTGCTGGTGCCACGCGACCGTGTCGTCGTTGTAAGACGCCGCCAGGACGTCGACGTCGCCGTCGCCGTCGACGTCGAGGGCGAAGACGGCGTCCGCGCCGTCCGCGCCGGCGACGACGACGCGCGCGGCGAAGGACCGCGCGCCGTCGTTCTCGTACCACGTCACCGCGTCCTCGAGGCGGCTCGCGGCGAGCGCGTCGACGTCGCCGTCGCCGTCGACGTCGACGCCGAAGCAGGCCTGCGTGTACTGCGACGACGGCGCGATGGCGCGCTCCACAAATGCGCCCGCGCCGTCGTTCTCGTACCACGCGACGGCGTCGTCGAGGTACGAGATCGACGCGGCGAGCACGTCCGCGTCGGCGTCGCCGTCGACGTCGAGCGCGTGCAGGGACCAGACGGCGTCCGACGCGCCGACGACGGCCTCCGCGAGGCCGTCGTCGCGCGCGAACCAGAGCACGGCGTCCGCGTTGACGGCCGCGGCGACGACGTCCGCGGCGCCGTCGCCGTCGACGTCGACGGCGTGCACGGCGCTCGCGCCGTCGGCGTCCTCGGCGAGGACGCGCCGCGCGAAAGCCTGGGCGCCGTCGTTCTCGTACCAGGCCACGACGTCGTCGTCGTGCGACGCCCACGGCAGGTCGACGTCGCCGTCGCCGTCGACGTCGATCGCGAAGGCGGCGACGGCGCCGGCGCCGGCGTCGTGGGACACGCGGCGCTTCGCGAACGTCGTCGCGCCGTCGTTGGCGAACCAGCTCACGGCCGCGTCGTGGAGCGACGCCGACAGGACGTCGGTGTCGCCGTCGCCGTCGAGGTCCAAAGCCAGCACGGCCTTGGCCGCGTCCTCGTGGTCGGCGACGGACCGCTTCTCGAAGTCGAGGCTCGCGCAGCGCGTGGCGTTGTGCGTCGTCGTCGCGGCACCGAGAGCCGCCATGACGACGAGGCGACGCCTCATTCCATCATGTTATTTTTCTTCTGTTGAAGCTCGCAAAAAACCGTCGGGCAGCCTCTGCGAGAGCTCGCGCTCCGACCTGATCGCGATGCTGAAGGTTGTTGCATTCCTGGCCGCATTACGCATGGCGACGGCCATTCCGGAAGTCGCGATGTACGGCGAGCCGGGCTGAAAGCATTGCGCCGCGGCGAAGCGAGACTACAAAGCCTCGTGGACGGACCGCATAAAGCTGGAAATTACGGAGTGCCCTGTAGAGTCGCGCGACCCGGGCGGGGGCGTCTGCGACCACATCACCTACTTCCCGACGTTCTGCTGCCCGCACGACGAAACGTGTTCCCATAAGAACAACCTCCAGGAGAGCTACGAGGCCGGCGCGGGCTTCGAACGCGTCATCGAGGCCGCGGCGGCCGAGTGCTCGAACGCGACGGCGCTCGCCAACGAGACGAGCCGCGCGGCCTAGGACGTGCACCGCGCGCCCCGACGACGGCGGAGGAGGCCCATGACCCCGCGCCGCGTCCCGGACGCGCGCGTCGCGGGCGAAGTACCCCCGTGCCGTCGACAAGAGTAACCGCCGAGGCTTAGGAGACGCCGTGTCACCGGTTGATGCCGTGGCGGTAGGGCTTGCCGTCGACGAGGCGGACGTAGGGCTTCTGGGGCCGGCGGTCGTAGGGGACGAGGCCGAGGCGGCTCTCGCGCTCGCGCTGGGACTTGGAGATGGGGAAGTGCTCGACCTCGGGCTTGAAGGCCTCGGTGATCTTCGCGTGCTCGCGCTCGCGCATCTTCGCGTTGAGGGGCGTGTCGCCGCGCTTCTCCTCGCGGCGCTTCTGGTCCGCCCAGGCCGCGGCCTGCGCGGCCTTGGAGGCCTCGTTCTTCTCGAAGACGCGGACCGTGCGGTCGATGATGACGTCCTGCTCCGTCATGCGGCCGCTCTGGACGGCGTCGCGGTACTCGGGCGGAAAGATCGTGTCCTCCGTCGGCGCCTCGCCCTCCTGGAAGTAGTCGCCGCCGTAGTCGAACGTGAGCTCGTCGCCCTTGGGCACGTCCTTCGTCGTGTAGAAGCCGACGTTGGGCCGCAGGTCCTTGCAGAGCACCTCCTCGCGGTCGACGACCTTGACGAACTCGACCTTGGTCTCGAGGTTCGGCGCCTTCTTCGAGTGGTTGATGTAGCGCGTGAAGTGCTTCGAGGGGCCCGCGTCGAGGTAGACGTCGCCCTCGCGGATCCAGTAGACGTGCGTGCCGTCGCCCTTGGGGTAGCGCGCGTCGTATTCCTTCTCGTCGATGAGGTCGCCGACGTACTCGCCGATGAAGGTGTGCTTGGGGATGGCTCGCTTCGTGTAGACGGCCATGCCCTTCTTGCCCGCGTCGCGGACCTCGATGACGTTCCGGCAGTCGAGGCAGTGCTGCATCGTCCGCCAGCGCTTCGCGTAGCGGAAGGGCTCCAGCACCTTCTCCGAGACCCAGCCCTCGATGGGCGCGACCATGCGCAGCCGCACGCTCCCGCTCTCGCTCACGCGGCGCGACGTCGTGTAGACCAATCGCCCCTTCCGGACGTCGCAGAGGTGCGCGCTGTCCGTGGACATCTCCTTGCGCACGGCGCACCACTTCTTCGCAACGACCCAGCTGTGGCAGTGGTCGCGCTCGTGCTCGCTCTCCGTGTCGCTCGCGACGGGCTCCGGGCACTTGCCGACGGGCGGCCGCTTCGGCGGGCCGCGGCGCGGCGGCGCGTTCGGCTGGTGCGCGCGCGGCGGCGGCGGCCGCGCGTTGATCTCCGAGATGGGCTCCATGGTCTCGCCGAGCAGGGCCGACGGCGCCTGCGCCGGCTGCAGCACCTTCGCGCTGACCCACCTGCGCGCGCGCCGCTTCTCCCGCGCGCGGCTCGCGGAAAAAAATGGACGCCGTCGGCGCGCCCGTCGCAGGGCCTGGCCATGAGGCCCAGGGGCTTCTGGACGCAGGTCCAGAGCAGCTCGCAGCGGATCGTCTCGCCGACGAGGACGCGGCTCTTGCAGCCCACGAGCGTGCCGCGGGGGATCGGCGGCTCGAGCTCCGGCGATTCCAGCGACGCGCCCTGGCGCCGCAGCGCGCCCTTGGCCGCCGTCACCGTGAACCAGAACGACGCCATCGATCACGCCGCCGCGCGACGACCGCCGTCGAGCTTCTCTTTCCGGCAGCACCCTGAGTGGTGGTCGAGGGGCTGCCCCGCGTGGTTCAAGTTGGCGCACCTTGAATGTGTCTTGAACAAACGATGGTAGGGCTGCCCGCCTAGAGATGCTGCGCGGCCTCGTCGTCGTCGCGGCCGTCGTCGCCCAGGTGCGCGACGCGCCGAGCGGCTACCGCGCGGGCAAGCCGAGCGGCGCCAACGCCTTCGCCCTCTACGACGCCTGCAACTCGTCCCTGCGGGCGCTCGTCGCCGCCGGCGCCAAGGCGCGGAGCCTCGACGCCATCGTCGCCTGCGAGACCGTGGCCTGCGCCTGCGACGGCTCTGGCGCGCCGCCGGACTGCCCGGTGCGCGAGGTCTACGCGGCCGCGGCCGTCGTCGGCGGGGGCTTCGCGCCGGAGGCCGTCGCGGCGCGGCGCGGCGCGCGGCCGCGGAGCTGCGCGGCCTGGCTGCGCGACCCGCGCAACGGCGGCGCGCTCGCCGGCGGCGGCGACGCCGCGCGGGAGCTGCGGCGCTGCGGCGTGGGCCTCTGGGAGCAGCGCCGCGCGTCGCTCGCGTACCTCCAGATGGCGCAGCCCTGGGTCGCGGCGGACTGGAACGACCTCCTCGAGCCCACGGCGCGCGACGAGGCGAAGATCCACGGCGAGGAGCCCGCGGGCCGCGCGCCGGACGCGGCGCTCTACCGCCTCGCGACGCAGCTCCTGAAGCGGCAGCTCGTCGTCGCCATGGAGTGCGGCGCCGCGCTGGGGCTGAGCTCGCACCTCGACTTCGAGAACGCGACGCGCGGCGTCAACCGGTACATCGGCACGATCATGCGCGTCGAGGCGCTCGCGAACCTGCTGCCGCACCTCTTCGAGGCGCAGCGCTACCGCTTCGCGTGCTGCCTCGCGTCGGAGGAGCGCCTCGGCGGCTGCGGCGAGACGCTCGCGCCGTCGGGCGAGGACCCGGCGGCGGCCGCGGCGCTGCGGGCCGGGAAGCTCGATCGCACGCTCCGCGCCGCGCTCGAGGGCGCGCCGGCGCTCGACGGCGGCGGGTCCGTCGACGTCTCGCCCAAGGCGACGTCGCGGTACGCGGTCGCGCGCATCGCGGACCTCCGGGGGCCCCTGAAGCGCCTGACCTTCGCGTACCGGTCCGAGCAGGACAAGGCCAAGGGCCGGCGCTACGCGAACCACGTCATCGACCGCGTCTTCCGCCGGGTCCTGCCGCGCCTGGAGCCGCTGCCCGACGGCCGCGCCGTCGCGCTCGACGACCTCGTCTTCTTCGGGCTGAGCGTGCTGACGTCGAGCCCCTACCCGTTCCTCCACTACGACCAGGACTGGACGCTCTTCCCGGACGCGGCGGGGTTCCAGGTCTGGGTCTTGGTCGACGCGTCGGAGCTTCCCAACGCGGGCAACCTCTTCGTCGCCGAGACGCCCGAGCTCCTCGAGAGCGACCCGCCCCTGCGCTGGGACTTCGACGAGCGCGGCGGCGCGACGAAGAACACCTACCTGGGCACGCAGTTCCCCATGCCGCTGAAGACCTACGGCTCCTGGGAGCGCGGCGCGAAGCTGTCGTTCCGCTACTTCAACGGCACCGAGGGCGACGCGCTCGTCTTCTCCAAGCGGACGCTCCACATGTCGGACCCGCGGCCCCACCTGCTCCGGGACCTGCGGGAGCGGCCGCCGGACCGCCTCGCCGTCTCCGTGCGCGCCGCGGTCAAGGACGCGGACGGCGGCCTCAACTTCTGGCCGGGCCACACGTCGACGGCGCGCCTCGCGACGGACCCGGCCTGGGTGGACCACTGGATGGGCGGCGGCGCCAAGAAGAACGGGCTGCACCGGGTCTTCATCCCGAACCGCCACGATTGGATGCACGGCATCCCGCGCGCCGCGGGGCCCTGGGAGCCGCTGGACCCGTGGCGGAACCACCCGTCGAGGCGCGCGCCGCCGACTCCGCCGAAGCTCCGTCCCCGGGCGTCGAAGACGGCCCACGAGAAGTTCGTCGACAAGTTCGACGGCGTCGCGCAGCTCATGACGACGCCGGAGCAGCGCGCGTCCTGGGAGCGCGTCAAGCTCAACCCGCCGGAGATCACGGGCGACGACCAGCTCTACGTCGACATGGAGGCCCTCGCGGCGACGGTGCAAGCGCCGCCCTGGCGCGGGGGCAACGGCCGGCCGCCATGACGACTATTTTAGGACCTCCTTGAGGTAGCGCAGCCAGTGGGCGAGCTCGAAGAGGAAGAGCACGGACCCGGCGCAGAGCAGCGCGCGCGTCCGCCCCATCTGGTGGAAGAAGGCGATCGCGGATGCGGCCGCGGCCCGGGCCCGCTTCTTCGCCCGCGCGACGCGCGTCTCCGCGGGCGCGCAGGGCCGGCACGCGCCGAAGCGGTTGAGCCCGGCGGCGGCCGCCGCCGGGCCCGCGCGGTCGCCGCGGCGCAGCTCGGCGACGGTCTCCCGGATGGACGCGCGCACGCGCGCGGCGTTCGTCGTCTCCGAGCGGCGCTTCGACTGTTTTCGGAGCTTCGGCGCCTTCATCATCTTCGGCTTCAGGTAGCCGGCGGAGGCGTCGATGACGCGGTCGCTCGCGGCGCGCGGCCGCTCCTTGAGCCGCTCGTGGCGCCGCTGCTTCTTGTCGTCGCCGCCGTCGTGGTCGCTCGCGCAGCAGTCGTCGTCCCACTGCTTCTGGAGAGACGTCTGCTGCTCCATCGTTCGCAGGGCCGCCGCCAATGTGTCCACGTCGCCCCTCTTCAGGGCCGCCGTGAGCGCGTCATGATCGCGGGCGTCGACCATGGCGCGTTCGTACTGCGGCTCCGACGCGACGCACACGCGACGCGTTGCGGCTGCCCAGCGCTGGGCTGCCCCAGCCGCGGCGCCGTCGACCTCGGTGCACACGACGTTGACCTCGTTGTCTCTCGATCCTGTTGTGGCAAGGCCTGTTGTGGACGAGGCCTGCGTCGTCGCGACCATGTACAGCTCCCGGTCCGCCGAGGACGCCGGGGAGAAGACGACGTCGTCGCGCGCCGTGCTCGCGGCGCTGCGCGCGCTCCAGGACAAGATCGCGCGCCTCGAGGGCGAGCGCGCGGAGGCCGTCAACTCCACGAAGGAGATGCGCCACCAGCTGCGCGAGATGGAGCTCAAGGTCGAGAGCCACCGCCTCGACGGCGCCGAGGAGTCGCGGCTCCGGAGCGCCTACGAGCGCCTCGCGAGCGAGGCGGCGTCCAAGGACGCGGCCATGCTCGCGGCGGAAAACCGCGCGCGCGCGGCGGAGCAGCGGCTCCTCGAGTGCGAGACGCGCGCGCGCGAGACGACGCTGCGCGCGCGGCGCGTCGAGGAGGAGCTCGACGAGGCGCAGCGCAACGGCGCGACGCCCCGCGTGACGCCCGAGGAGCGCGCGCGCTACGAGGACGAGCTCGCGGAGAGCGCGAGCCGCCGGAGCGCGGCGGAGGAGAAGGCGGCCAAGCTCGAGGCGAAGCTCCGCACGTCGGAGCGCATCCTCGAGACGCTCATCGCCATGAACAAGCTGCTCGTCAACGAGAAGGAGGCCGACGTCGACCTCGACGGCGTCGCGCGCGAGGCGCGCGCCGCGCGGCTCTCGCCGGACCGTCAGGACCGGGAGCCGCGGCGCCGGTCGCCCGCGCCCGCGCGCCGCGCGGCGCCGAAGAAGGCGACGTCGGCGCTGCGGGCCGTGCGGTCCGCCGTCGACCGGGCCGCCGCCGCCGCCGCCGCCGCGCCGCCGCGGCGCGCGGCGCCGAAGAAGCGCGTCGTCAAGCGGCGGCCGCCGCCGCCGCGGGACGACGTCGAGGCCAAGCCCCTGCCCTGGGTCCCGAGCTCCGACGGCGGGGTGTCCTTCAACCTCGCCGCGGCCTGCAACTACGCGCTCCGCAAGACGCAGCAGCCCGCGCCCTAGGGGGGGGGGGGGCGCGTCACCCCGGGGGTTCGGCGCTTACCGCTTCGCTTACCGCTTCTTCCGCGACCGCCGGACGCGCGCGAGCGCGGCGCCGCCCTCGCGGCCTTGCTCCCGCTTCTCCTTCTGGCGGTTCTCGAACTCGTCGTAGTGCATCGCGCACCAGACGTTGGAGATGAGGACCATGACCTCGACGCAGGTCACGAGGTCCTTGACCTTGAAGTTGTTCACGTCCGCGTTCGTGATGCTCTGCGCGCGCGCCTCGGACTCCAGGCTCCGCGCCATCTTCTCGAGCACGCGCAGGATGGCGTGGAGGAGCTGGGGCTCGTCGTTCTCACTGATGCGCAGCGGCCGGAACACGTTCGCCGCGAGCCACTTTTTGAGGGGAGCGACGCCGATGAAGCCGACCTGTGTGGAAATCAAATCTTCAACCCGACTTCAAGGTGAGCGTATGCGACCGTTTTGACGCAAGGATTTCTGCTGTGCTTCGAGAACTCGACGAGAGCAATCGATTCGTCCAAAAATCAGCCGAATCGACTTCGATTTGACCGAGCTAGAGAATTCTCAAGTTTGGTCAGGACCACCCAAACCAGCGGTTGAATTCCACACAGAAGCCGACGCGCGGGCTCTGCGTGCCCGCGAGCTTCTCCTCGTCGCACTTGAGCTTCGACGGCAGGCTCCGCTTCGAGTCCTTGAGCATGCCCTCGATCTCGTCGAAGGCCTTGCACACGAAGTCGACGCCGGGCGGCGGGATGGACTTGATGCGTCCCGAGATGCGGTAGCAGCCGACCATGCGCGAGAAGAGCCAGAGCCAGTCGTTGTGGGCGTCCTCCGCGTTGGCGTGCTCCAGGGCGAGGGCGAGGGCCTTGACGCGCTTGCGCACGTCGCGCTCGTTCTTGCAGTTGAACCGCGTGCGGCACTCGTTGACGCAGAGCGCGGCGAGCGACGTCTCCGAGCCGTTCTTCCGCGCGAGGGAGTGGGCGTCGATGCAGGCGAGGGTGAACTCCGTGCACTGGGGCAGCGTCATGCGCGTCAACGTCTGGCCGCTCTCGAGGTACGGCTTCCACTCGTCCGGGAACCTGACCTCGTCGTCGTCGTCGAGGTCGCCGTAGACGCCTGGGCGGGAAAAGAGAGTTTCAACGTCGCTTCGACGTAAGTGTGCCGCGCGCGCGCGTTCCGGAAAAAGCATGCAGGCTTCGAGACCGTTCCAAGAGATGATCGCTCGTCCAAAGATCAGCCGAAACGAGTGGAAACCGGCCGAGATAGGAGCCTTTGAAGTTGGGAATGTCGCTCTCTTTTCCCGCCCCGGTAGACGCGGTCGTAGCCGAGCTTGAGGAACTCGACGTACTCGTCGGCGTCCGTCGAGTTGGTCCAGTTGTCCGCGAGCTCGAAGACGGACGCGACGAACTCGTCCTTGGTGACCTGCGCGTGGCCTTCCGAGTCGGACTTGAAGTCGTCCTCCATGGCCTCCGCGATCTCGAGCTCCGTCATCTCGTCGTCGGGGTCCACGAGGTGGACGAGGCGCGCGTAGAAGCGCTCGTACTCGTCGTGGTCCAGCGCCTCGTTCTTGTCGCGGTCGTCGTGCGCGGAGGACCCGGACCACCACCGCTCGAGCATGCGGCACACCTGGGCAGGAAACACACGACTTTAATATGTTTTTTGAACGATTTCGCGATCGTTTCTCTACTGTTTGAAAAGAACGCGCCGAGAGAAAACGATCCATCCAAAAATCAGCCGAAACGACTTCGATGTGACCGAGCTAGAGAGGTTTGAATTTTTTGCTGGACAGGGCGTTCCACTGGTTGTTTCCGGCACAGCGGCAGACGCGGCGGTCGTCGCGGAGCCGCTCGCGGATGGCCAGGTTCTCCTCGCTGTACATGTCCAGGTCGCCCTGCTTCTGGGGGTCGTAGCGTTCGATCTCCGGCAGCCGCTCGAACTCGGCCATCGCGGCCTCGGCCTTGGCCCGGATGCGTTTGCGCCGCCGCATCGCGCGCGCGTCCCGCTCCTCGGCCGTCAGCGACTCCTCGTGGGCCGCCTCGGCCTCGTCGATGAGGCGCGGGTGGAGCGCGCAGAGCCGCCAGAAGGCCTCGACGCTGTTCTCCACCTCGACGTGCGACGCGTAGACCGTGTCGCGCCGCCGCGTCTTCGGAGCGAAGAAGCGCCCGTCGGCCGCGGATTGGCGGCCGGGCTCCGGGCCGCCCGACGCCGGCGGGAACGCCTCCTCGCTCATGCCGAAGGTCTTGGACCTCACGCGCAGCGGCGTCTCGCCCGGCCGCTTCGGGCTGCCCGTGACCGGCGGGTGCGGCTTCGGGCTGCCGCCGACCGGCGGGTGCGGCTTGGCGGCCGGCGCGCCGTCGTCGTCGTCGGACGCCAGCGCGTCGTCCTGCTGCGGCTCCTCCGCGATGGAGCTCGCGCGCTGCTTCGGGCTATCCGCCATCGGGGAAGCGGTTTTAGCAGGAACCCATCGTCGAGCGACAATGTGAGCTTAGAAATTCATCAAGTGCACAGGAGTTCAACCCGGAGTTGTGCAGCGATTTTGCCTCAGAGTTGCACGCGACGCCGAGCCGGGCCGGAGCTCGCCTCTCCAGCGTCTGGCACTCCGCGCCGGCAGGTCTCCGCCTCTTGGCATTCGCGCCGGCAGCACCGCCCGGGTCCAGGGTCGTCCCCGTGCTTGAATCCGCTCCCATCGCATGAAAATGATGCGCGTCCCGCTCGCCGGCGCCCTGGCCCTGGGCCGCGCCCTGGCGCTGGCGCCGGCCCGGAGCTCGTCCCTGCGCGCGCCCGCCCGCGCCTTCGCGAGCCGCATGCCCGAGGTCGAGGACGCGGGCCTCAAGTGGAGCACGGGCACCGGCGCGCCCCTCGAGTGCCGGGCCGCCGTCGCCTTCGGCGTCGACGACCTGCGGACCACGGACGTCGTCGTCGCGGCGCCCAAGGCCGGCGAGGTGCGGCTCCGCGTCGTCGCGAACGCGCTCTGCCACACGGACATCTACACGCTCGAGGGCAGCGACCCCGAGGGCCTCTTCCCGTCGATTCTAGGCCACGAGGCCGGCGCGATCGTCGAGTCCGTCGGCGAGGGCGTGACGTCGGTAAAAGTCGGCGACAAGGTCATCCCCTGCTACACGCCCCAGTGCCGCGAGGCCGACTGCATCTTCTGCGCGTCGCCGAAGACGAACCTCTGCCCGAAGATCCGCGGGACGCAGGGCCGGGGCGTCATGCCCGACGGCACGACGCGCTTCAAGACGGCCGACGGCGCGCCCGTCGCGCACTTCATGGGCTGCTCGACCTTCGCCGAGTACACGGTCGTCTCCGAGATCTCCTGCGCGAAGATCGACGACTCCGCGGACCTCGCCAAGGTCTGCATGCTCGGCTGCGGCGTCGCGACGGGCTGGGGCGCCGCGTGGTCCGCGCTCCGGCGTCGTTTTATACGTCCCCGCCCGAAAAAAATCGCGTTCATCACTTTCGTCCGCGGCTTCCGTACGCCGCCGCGGCCGCATTCGAACGCGGAGACCGACGCGGGCGCCTGATACCCGCGCGTTCGCTTCCCCCCGGAAGCGCGGGACTCGACATCCAAACGCTCCGACACCCGCCGCAGGAAGACGGCGAACATGGAGGCCGACGCGTCCGTCGCGGTCTTCGGCTGCGGCGCCGTCGGGCTGGCCGTCATCCAGGCGGCGAAGATCCGCGGCGCGCGGCGCATCTTCGCCGTCGACACGAACCCCGACAAGTTCGATATCGCGACGGAGTTCGGCGCCACGGACTGCGTGAACCCCCTGGAGCTCGACGGGCCCGTCGCCGCGCATCTCGTCGGGTTGACGCAGTGGGGCGTGGACTACACCTTCGACTGCACGGGCAACACGGAGGTCATGCGGGCCGCGCTCGAGTGCGCGCACCGCGGCTGGGGCGTGTCCGTCGTCATCGGCGTCGCCGCCGCGGGCCACGAGATCGCGACGCGGCCCTTCCAGCTCGTCACGGGCCGCACGTGGAAGGGCACGGCCTTCGGGGGCTTCAAGAGCCGCGACGAGGTGCCGGAACTCGTCGACCGCGTGCTCGCGGGCGACCTGCCCATCGACGCCTACATCACGCACAACTTCGACGGCGTCGACAACACGCACGCGGCCATCGACGCGCTCCACGGCGGCGACTGCCTCCGGGCCGTCGTGTCCTACTGAACGGGCGTCTCCCGACGCCACCTTCCGGAGAAGAGAAGACGGATGTACATGCACGCGGCTCCGCGATGGCGCGGCAGAGACGGCCGATCCCTCGGCGCAGATGCGCGGACCCTAAGATTAATATTTTCGAGGAGTGCTTTGTTAGGCCTCGGGTTGACCAAGTTATTGAAGGGGGTGCGCGCCCGACTGCGTCCGTCCGGGGGAGGGGAGTTAAGAGGGGAGGCGGGCCCTCGTTGAACAGCACGTTTCCCTCGTCGACGAGGCTGCCCACGATGGTCATGCGTCGCGGCAGCCTCGTCGCTGCGTTCGCCGTCGTTGCTGCGGCGGCGGCGGACGCGGACGCCTGCGCGGCGCGGCGCGCGCTGGAGCTCGTGACGGCGGCGGACTCGGCGCCGCCGGGCCTCTGCGCCCTGGCGCGGTCGGCCGTCCGCCAGGGCTACCGCCTGACGATCCTGGGCGTCGGTGCGAACGCGACGTACCACGACGTCCTCGAGCAGAAGCCGCGGCTCCTGCGCGCCTTCCTGCGCGACGGCGCGGCCGCCGACGTCGTCGCCTTCGTCGACGGCTTCGACGTGCTCGCGCAGCGGGGCCCGGCGGCCGCGCTCGCGGGCTGGCGCGCCGCGGGCGCGCCCGACGCGCTCTTCGGCGGCGAGTCCTACTGCTTCCCGAACCGGCGCGGCGACCGACCGGCGCCCTACTGCGCGCAAGCGGCCGCGGGCCTCGGCGCCGGCGACCGCGTCGTCTGCCTCGGCAAGGCGCGCCGCTTCTACGCGGCGCTCGGCGTCGACGTCGACGCCAAATGCGCGCCGCCGGACGCGCCGGGCCGCGTCGTCTTCCCCTTCCTCAACTCGGGCCTCTACCTCGGCCGCGCGTCCCCGCGGCGCCCACCGGCCGCGGCCCGCGCGGACGAATTCCCCCACCCCCGCGCGCAGGCCCCGGCCCGCTCGCGCGGCTCCTCGACGCGTCGCGCGCCGCGTCTCGCTCCCGCGGCGCGCCGCTTCTCACGGTCGTGTAGGTACCTCGCGGCCTACGCGGCGGACGCGACGCTCGCGGGCCTCACGCTGTGTGGAAATCAACCAGTGGAATGGACGCGTCCAGCAAAACTTCAAACCTCTCTATCTCGGTCAAATCGAAGTCGATTCGGCTGATTTTTGGACGAATCGATTGCTCTCGTCGAGTTCTCGAAGCAAAGCCGAAGAGCTTGCATCTGAACTGTCGCATACGCGCACATTGAAGTCGGGTTGAAGATTTGCACACAGGCTTCACGGACCAGGCGGTCTTCCACGACGTCGTCGCGTCGGGAAACGGCGCCGCCGCCGTCGACGTCGCGGGCCGCGTCTTCCTCAACGCCTGCTGCCCGCGCGGCGCGCTCAACCGGGGCCTCGCGGCCTGGAACGCGACGGCCGGCGCCTACGACGTCCCCGCCAACGGCGCGTTCCCCGCGTTCCTGCACTGGAACGGCAACGTCGGCGCGCGCGACCCGACCCGCGCGGCCCTCGACCGCGAGCTCGCCGCGCCCCGGCCGCCGCCGCCCTGCCCGGGCAGCGTCCGCGTCGTCGGCGCCGCGACGGCGGCCGACGACTACCGGCGCCGCTGCGGCGGGGAGGGAGGGGGCGTCGGGTGATCTTTTGGCTGCCCAGGTCGACTTAGAAAAGGGATTCAAAACTTCAAGAAGCTTCGCCTAAATAGCCGGCAATGGGCAGCCCGTCGCGGCTCGCGCTGCTCCTCGCGTTCGCGGCCTGCCGCGCCGAGGACGGCCACGCGCGCCGCTGCGACGCGGGCTGGTGGTACGAGCAGCCCGAGGGCGAGTGCAGCCCCATGGCGTTCGAGGACCGCTTCCAGGCGACGAGCGGCGCCGAGTACGCGACGGCCGTGAGCCAGATGTGGAACGTGCTGGACCGGCTCGCCATGCGCTGGAATTTCGGGTGCGTCGACAAGTCGCCGCTGAGCAACCCGAAGACGCTGTGCACGGCGCGGAGCGACCGCTTCAACCCCTTCATCTTCGGCTACATCCGCCCGCGGCAGCGCGACGTCTACGAGCGGCACCTGCGGGCCCAGCGGGCGGCGCTCGCGGGGCGCGCCGGCCCGCAAATCTACTGCGAGATCGGCATGAACGCGGGCCACGGCACGGCGGCGGCGCTGCTGACGTCGCCGGACATCGTCGCGGAGAGCTTCGACATGCAGGAGTGGGGCTACTCCGACGCGGTCGCCGAGTTCCTCGCCACGGTCTTCCCGGGCCGCTTCCACAACCACAGCGGCTCGAGCTTCGACACGGTGCCGGCCTTCTTCCGGTCCGCGGGCGCGCCGCGGTGCGACGCGGCCTTGGTCGACGGCGCGCACTACGCTAGGGGCGTCGAGATCGACCTGGCCAACGTGAAGCGCGCCGTCGCCTGCGACCACGTGCTCTTCCTCGACGACCTGAGCCAGCCCGAGGTCGGCGGCGTCGTCGACGCGCTCGTGGCGCGGGGCGAGCTCGAGGTCCTCGAGCGGCACGCGATGGACGCGGCGGACCCGGCCGCGTGCCTCCGCGTCTACGAGCGCAACAAGCCCCGGCCCGGCGAGGGCCGCTGGTGGCCGACGAAGCTCATGCCCCGCGAGGACGTCGACCGCCACTGGACGCTCGTGCGCAAGTGCGGCTTCGAGAACTTCGCCTTCGCGATCGCCAGGTTCCGGAACCCGCCGAGCTGCGCCTAACGCCTACTCCGCGCCCGCCTCCTCGGGCGCGCCGTCCGTCGGGGGCGGCGCGGGCTCGGGCTCGGCGCCCGGCGGCGCGTCGCGGAGGACGACGGCCGCGTTCCGGTGCCTCGCGGGCGACGGCGCCGCGTCCTTCGCGTCGCTCTCGGCGTCGTCGCGCTTGGCGTCGTCGTCGGCCTTGGCGTCGTCGCCGCCGCCCTTGGCGTCGGCGTCGTCGGCGGGGGGCGCGTCGCCGCCGCCGCCGTCGGCGGCTTTCGCGTCGTCCGCGGGCGGCGCCGCGGCCGCGGCGCCCTTGGCCTCCGCGGGCTCCGCGACGGACGACGACGAGCCCGCCTTGGATTTCGACGACGAGCGGCGGAAGAAGTTGAAGCGCGAGCTCGACGCCGGCGTCGCGTCGCCGTCGGCCGCGGCCTTGGCGTCGTCCTTGCCGGGCGTCTTCGGCCTCTTGTCCGGCGACGCGGGCCGCCGCTCCGGCTCGGCCTCGCGGTCGTTGACGATGTCGTCGATGGCTTTGACGTCGTCGGGCGCGAGGGGCGCGAGGCGCCGCGTGTTCTCCTCCTCCTCGAGGTACTCGTCGAAGTTGTCGCGGACGCACTTGCGGTCGAGCGACGGCGCGAACGGCGGCTCCGCCTCCTTGGCCAGCACCGTGTCCCAGGGCGTCGACGACAGCCAGGCGTGGGACCGGCAGGCGCCGGCGCCCGCGGACCCGCCCAGGCGCTTGCGCACGTCGCGGCGGAGCAGGTGCTCGACGAAGGACCGCGCGCTCCCGTGCTTCCGCAGCTCCTTGGGCTCGTCGAACCTGCCCTTGAGCACCTTCTGGTAGATGCCCAGGGGGTTCGCGTCGTAGAAGGGCGGGTAGCCGCACAGGAGCTCGAAGACGAGGACGCCGAGCGCCCAGCAGTCCGCCTCCTTGCCGTAGCCGCCGCGGAGCAGCACCTCGGGCGCGACGTACTCGGGGTCGCCGCAGAGGGTCAGCGTCTTGTGGAAGTGGACGAGCTTCGACAGCCCCAGGTCCACGACGCGGCAGTAGCCCGCGTCGTCGAGCACGAGGTTCTCCGGCTTGACGCCCCTATACACGACGCCGAGCCGGTGGAGGTACTCGAGCGCGGGGACGACCTGGCCCATGTAGAAGCGGCAGTCGGGCTCGCCGAGCGTCCCCAACGCCCGGAGCCGGTGGTGCAGGTCGCCGCCGCGCAGCAGCTCGAAGACGACGTAGACCGACGACGCGTCCTGGTACTTGCCGAGCGACGGGCACAGAAACGGGTGCTCGACGGTCCGCAGGAGCGCGACCTCGCTCCGCACGTAGCGGAGCAGGTCCCGCGACACGATGTCCAGCTTCTTGATGATCTTCACGCAGCGCATCTGGTCCTCGAGGATGTTGCGCACGAGCCGCACGCGCGAGAAGGCGCCCGTGCCGATGGTCTCGTGGTTCTCGAAATCCGTGATGCGGTACAAAATCTGCTCCGGCCGCCGCTCCTTCTTCTCCGACTCGCCCCGCTCGAGCTTGCCCCGGGTCGACATGCCCGCGCAGCCGCAGCGGCGCGCGGGCAGCCCCAACGATTGCGAGGCAGCGCGCGTGCGTCGAGGGTGAAGAGCCGCCATCTTGACGGCAATGTCGAGACCGGCTCATCGGGCGATCGCGGCTTCTTCGTGATGTCGGCCATGGTGTACTCATGTCTCACGGCCCCCGGCGTCGAGTTCGCGACGAAGGCCGAGTTCACGGCCCACTACAAGAGCGAGTGGCACCGCTACAACCTCAAGCGGAAGACGGCGCAGCTGCCGATGCTCTCCGAGGCCGACTTCGAGGCGCGCCGCGCGGCGGCGCAGGCGTCGGCCCCCAAGGCCAAGGAGGACGGCCACGTCAAGCCGGAGAAGCGCGACGCGCGGAAGCACCGCCAGGAGAAGATGAAGAAGGGCGGCTTCAGGGCCGTCGGCGCGGGCGCGAACGTGCTCGACGCCGTCGCCGGCTACCGCGCGGCGGCGCCGCGCGAGGACGCGGGCGCGCCGGAGGCGGCGGCGGCGGCGGAGGACGACGAGGCGCCGGAGATCGAGGAGATCACGACCGAGGCCCGCGCCACGGACAGCTTCTTCGACAAGGAGCGCTTCGACAGCCCCGAGGCGTCTCTCGAGTATATGCAGAAAAAATACGGCTTCCACGTGCCCGAGGCGGCCTACCTCGTCGACGCCTGCGGCCTCTGCCGGTACCTCTGCGAGAAGGTCAAGGTCGGCCGCACGTGCCTCTTCTGCGAGCGGTCGTTCCGGAGCTACCGCGCCTGCCAGCAGCACATGATCGACAAGAGCCACTTGAAGCTCGCGTACCACACGGACGACGAGGTCGCGGAGCTCAGCGACTTCTACGACTTTAGCGCGACCTACGCGGGCCTGCACGACGACGACGTCAAGCTCCTCGCGCCCGACGACGCCGCGACCGCGGCGCCGGGCGACGACGACGACGACGACGAGGGCTGGGAGACGGCGTCGGACAGCGAGGGCGAGGAGGCGCCGGCGCCGGCGGCCGGCGGCGAGGTCATGCTCCGGCGCGCGACGCGCGTCAAGGTCATGGACAGCGGCGAGCTGCTCCTCAAGCGCGGCGGCAGCCAGAAGGTCGTCGGCGCGCGGTGGCTCCGCCGCTACTACAAGCAGAACATGCGCATCGACGACGACCGCGAGGCCGTCGTCGCCGTCAAGAACGAGGCCAACGCGCGGCTGCTGGCGGCCTACGCGCGCGCGAACGTGCCCGCGACGTCCGCGGGCTTCTTCGCGCGGGGCCTCGCGGCGCAGTTCAACGACCGCCAGAAGCTCATGAAGCGCATCCACAACGACCAGCGCGCGGAGATCAAGCAGCGCGAGCGCACCATGGGCATGCGCTCCGGCGGCAAGGCCAAGGACTTCAAGCAGAACAAGCTCATCAAGCACCGCGTCGCCGGCAAGAACATGGGCGAGGGCCTCGGCGTCCACGGCTAGTGGCGCGCCTAAATTTACGCTTATGTCATCGGCCGTCGCCGAAGGTGAGGCGGCTCATGAGCCCGTCCCAGCACGCGCCGATGGAGTAGAACGCGGCGAGATGCCAGCGCGGCCGCACGAAGCGGAAGACGAGCACGGACGACGGCGCCCAGACGACCAAACCCGTCGCCACGGCTTCGACGTAGTTGGTTCGCAACCGCGCGACCGCGCGTTCCGCGTCCTCGCCGAGGCCGAAGCGCGCGGTCCACAGCGTGAGCGCGGGCACCTCAAAGAGCGGGACGACCAAAAGGCATTCGACGGCGGTCTTGCGCAGGACCGTGGCCACGTTCGCGTTGAGCCACGCGTAGTAGAAATGGTAGGGCACCGCGGCGACGGCGCCGTAGGACGTCATGGCGCCGCAGCGCGTCGCGTCGAATGCCGCCGCGTCGCCGGTCGAGAGCGCGTAGCGCTGCGCGGCGGCATCACCGATCAAACAAATGCCGCCGCCAATTGCGACGTCGGCCGCCACGGCGAGCGAACGCTGCATCTGTCACTCCGCGTCGACGTAGGCCTGGCTCCGCGCGGCGGATGTCGACACCTGCAGGTCCTTGTCGAAGTGCATCCAGCTGCAGACCTCGCGGGAGTCGACGAGCTATGCCATCGAACTCTTGCCGTGCTATGCCATCGTACTCTTGCCACTGATCTTGAACTACCATTGCAGTCTCATTGCATCTCTGCATCCTTCCTGGGAGCGCATGGGGCAGCCACAAGCAGGATTGGCAGCCCCTCGAGCATGACGCTGCGCGCCTTGCTCGTCGTGCTCGTCGGCGGCGCGGCGCAGACGCCGCAGCCGACGCCGCTGGACGCGGGCTGCGTCGAGCGCACCTTCTCGGAGCGCCTCGTCTCGACGACGGCGGACTACGTGCGGAGCGTCTTCGGCATCGACGTCTAGGCTCCTAGAGCGCGCTCCTAGCGCGACCAGGCGGCGAGGAAGGTCCGCGTCACGGCGCTCGTGAGGCGCCGGGAGTCGTCGTCGTCGTCGCCGTAGTCGTCGTCGCCGGAGGCGCCGGGGCAGAGGCCGTCGGGGTCGATCGCGAGGTAGAACGACTGGCCCGTCGAGAAGGCGATGGAGCCGAAGAAGAGCGCGAAGAAGGCCCAGGCGCCCGCGGGCGTCTTGCGGCCCGGGTCGCACTGCGCCTTCGTCGCCTCGATGGAGTTGGGCAGCAGGTTGACGCCCGATGGCGTCCGCGCGTAGACGCCGAAGACCGGCAGGAACTGGATCGACGAGCAGATGATCGTGAGCTTCAGGATGCCGTTCCAGTTGCCGTTGTCGATGGCGCTGTCGGACACGTTCGTCACGCAGGTCAGGTAGGTGCCCAGCTGGTAGCCGCTCTCCGACGCGACGTTCTGCCACGTGCTGAGGAGCGCGTAGACCGTCCCCTCCGAGCCCGAGGGGATCATCGTGAAGAACATGATGCACATGGGCATGAAGACGATGTTCTGCACGAAGTTCTGGAGCGCCGTGTCGCCCATGGCGAAGACGTAGTCCGAGAGGCCGAACGTGTCGCCCGTGACGAGGCAGATCTGCAGGAAGGAGAAGCCCGTGAAGAGCACCGTGACCCAGAGGTAGAGCTTGCGCCACTCGCTCTTGAAGAAGTACTTCTCGTAGGCCCACAACCCGACGACGCCGATGACCGCGCCGACGAAGCTCATCATGCCGTACCCAAAGTTGGAGAAGTCCAGGCCGATGAACAGAAAGTTCGTCCACGCCGGGTTCGACACGTAGCAGAAGTTGTAGAAGTAGAGGTACATGAGCGGCACCCAGACGCCGTCGTTCGAGAGGAAGTCGAAGGTCTCGCGCCACATGGTCTTCAGGTCCACGCCGACGCCCTTGCCGCGGATCGGCAGCTCGTACATGAAGGGCACGAGCGGCAGCACCGTGAAGACGACGAGGAGCGTCTGCATCCAGAAGAGCTGGGGCACCGTGAGCCCCCAGCCCCAGGACCCGCCGCAGGCGGACCCGTTCCAGAGGCACGCGCCCGCGAGCGCGCCGACGGACATGCCGACGGCGCGGACGTAGTACGCGTGCGTCCGCATGCGGCCCTTGTCCGCGGCCGTCTCGCCCGTGGAGCACTCGAGGATGATGGCGTCCGCGACGACGTCGCTGAGCATGAAGCCCGCCGTGTAGCCGAAGGAGAGCAGGAGCACGGCCGTGATGCCCGGCGTCTCCATGATCGCGAGCCACGCGTTGCACGCCGCGTAGACCTGGGCCGCAAAAGAGAGATTCAACATCGCTTCAATGTGGGTTTTCCGCGCGCGCGCGTTCCAGGAAAAGCATCCACGCTTCGAGACCGCTCCAAAAGATGATCGCTCGTCCAAAAATCAGCCGAAACGAGTGGAAAATAGCCGAGATAGGAGCCTTTGAAGTTGGGAATTTCGCTCTCTTTTGCCGCCCTGGCGTAGACGGCCCAGCCGAGCACGTAGTAGCTCCGCCGGTGCATCCCCAGAAAGGGCACGAGGTCGCTCTGGGTACCATAAAAGAACTTGAGCGACCAGGGCAGGTACGTGAGCGCGCCGTAGGTGTTGACGACGGCCGCGGACGCGTCCAACTTCTCGACGAGGTAGTACGAGATCGGCGTCGCGCCCAACATGAGCGCGACGCCGACGTTGAAGTAGGACGACAGCAGGCCCCAGTTCGGCAGCGCGGAGAGGTCCGCGAGCCACGAGCCCTTGCCCTCGTCGCGCGGCGACCCGTTCTCGTCGCGGAACCAGAACTCGTCGAGGCGGTCCGGCGCCAGCGTCGTCCGGTAGTCGTAGCGCAGCCAGCGCACCCACTCCTCGCGATAGAACTTGTAGTTCGGCCGCCGGAACGCGCCCGTGTAGCCCAGCAGGGGCTCCTTGTCCTTCTCGGCCATGGCCGGCAAAGCGGGCTGCCCGGGCACACCCTCGTCGTCACCGATCCTCGGCTGAGACGTCGACGGCACCGTCGAGACATTGCATGCACGTTGATGACTCTCAGAGCCTGAAATCTGCGATGGGACGCAGGAAGCCGCCGCCAGCGTCGCAGCGCGCGCCGCCGGATGCGCCGCAAAAACGTGCCGCATCTCTCTGGCTCGCGCCGGCGACGCTCGTCGCCGTCGCGGTCGGCGTCGTCCTCGCGCGGCTGCCGTCCGCGGCCCTGCGCGGCGTCGAGCGCCAGGTCGCCGTGGGCCGCCAGCTCTTCGAGCGGGGCGCCTGGGCGGCGAGCGAGCGCGCCCTCGGCGACGACCTGCGGGCCGCGGCGTCGAGGCTCGCGCGGGCCGACGACCTCCGGGCCGCGTGGCCGCGGCTGCACGAGGCGTCGGCGCACCGCGCGCAGGCCGCGCTGCGCGCCGCGGACCACGTCGCCGACGCGGGGGCGCGCCGCGGCGCCCTGGAGCGCGCCGCGGCGCTCTTCGCCGCGGCCGTGGACATGGACGGCGCCGCGCTGCGGTTCTACGACTTCGTCCACGACTACTGCCGGTGCCTCCGGCGGCTCGGGCGGCCGGGCGCCGCGGACGGCGTCTTCGAGGCGTCGCGGAACGCGTCGGGCGCGTCCT